GCAGTGGATGTCCACGGGGAGAGAGGGGATTGAAATAGTTTCCTTTGTGACCTAATTAAAAACACAAACCGCAACACTTTCCTGAAATACCTATTAAGAACACAAACAATAACTATGTGACCTAGTTAGAGCACAATATCCCTGTTTCGTGTGTGACCCAAATAAAACACAAACGTTAGCAATTACTTATACGACCTAGTTAGCACACAAATAATACTAGTTTCCGATGTGACCTTATTAGAATACAAACAAAACTAGTTTCTGAAGTGACCAAATTGAAACACAAACATCACCAGTCTCTGGTTTGACGAAATCAGACCACAGGTTACATCAGTTTCCGATTTTGACCTATGACCCAGTTATATCGTAAATAACACCAGCTCCCTGTGTGAGCTCTGTCTGACCTTGGTCCATTCTGCCGAATGACGTGTACATTGCCGATATGTCCCGTCTCGTGACGTCATTGTCCGGCAGAAAATAGGGCACGATGACGTCATCGGGGTTATAGACCTGAGGGGTCCAGTCTTTAATGAGGCCCATGCCAGGTTTCCCGGTACCCCAGAGGTTCCTGAAAGGACCGTATGTTTCGACGTCCGAGGGTCTGGTGCGGTGCGAGTCGAAGAAACCGATGTACAGGAAGAAGGGTCTGGAAAAGAGTGTGATAAAAGAAAATGTAATAATAACGATCAATTCTACGGAGCCCACTTCCTGGTGCCACTGGGCGCTTCACAATAAAATAATGTTCTTAATCGTGTCAATTGAGGTTTAAAAACAACTACATTTAAAAAGAAGCTATAAAATAAGATTGAAATCAACTTTTCAAGCACCTTGACATTCAGCGTAAAACAATTCTTTCAGATACATACATTTTACACCAGTCATCTGACAAAGAACACAATCATAAAAAGACAATCACTTTGTTCACACTTGTTGTTGAGAAAATAATTGAACTAGTTAGTACAATAGGATTTAAATAAATGTGTTTTAAAACCAGATTTAAATGGGGTCAAAAAGAGCACATTGACGAAAGGATTAGAATGGCAAGGACATTAGTTTTTGTCATAACAGTTTTACCAACTACGTAATCAGGGGCGACTACTACTTGTATATTTTATAATTTGAGGACGTCCTTTTTTTTTTACCATAGAGCATTTTTATTTAATCCGACAAGTAGACTTAATCTTTATCATATTGTGAGTTATCAACCATGATCAGGATTTGTGTGTCCAACTTTGTATATTCATATTATGTCTACTAAGTTGTATTTTTAGGTCCATATTCCCTTTAATCTAAAAGTAATTTTTTATCTATGTACTAGTATGTCGAAATGTGTATGATTTTTCTTTTTTTAAGAGGAGTATTTCTTTTAAAATATGTTTTCTCGTTTGTGCCTTAATTATTATTATTGTAAAGCACGTTGAGCTTCTTTTCGAGATGAAATTGGGCAATATAAATTATGCAGTCTGACTTTAATTATTGTTATTCTTGTCTCATTAACATTAGGATATCAGGTTTTCTCGACTAACGATATACAGTACCGTGGGTGTTCAAAGACACCTCACGAAAACAATAATGATGACAATCCTTTTTTTTATACCGAACTCCAAATGTGAGGCAGCGTGGAGGAATCAGGCTCTCGTCAATTTTTGGGCATGGAAAGTTATTGGTGTCACCTTAAAGCTTGTTCACTTGTCTTTATTTCAATGAAAAAAAATATATCCATTTATCTTGAATACAAGTCGAGATATTTACCAATGAAGGAGGTGGAGTCACCTGTTTTCAGAGGTAAAATTAGTGAGAAAATGGCCACCAAAGGTTAGTTATTTCCTTAGCTTAAGAGTCCGTGGTAACTGAAAATTAACATTTTTTGTGCATTTAATCAACGTTTTTAAGAAAAATCCACACAGAAATGAGTTCTTTAATGGGCATGAAAGGTGTTGAGCCAAAAAACAAAAATTTTATAAAAATTCACAAACGTGCCGAAAAATGCAAGTTTCTTCACTTTGATTATTTTGACGAGAGCTTGATTCCACCACGCTGTCTCACAAATAGTTTACGTAAAGACTCGGGAACCGAATGATATTGTAGAATTCTGATAACACTTAAAAATCAAATTGTCATCTAGACTTTGTTGTAATGCAGCTTACAGTAATAGACATTTTTGTTATAAAGTGCCTTTTACTCAAAGCTTATAACGTAGAACTCAGGTTCTTTCTTTTTGCCTTGGATGACACGATAATGAACTGAACGACTCACTTTCCCCGTACCTCGCTTCGCGGCTGCTGAACATGTTCTTGGTGTTGACAAGCTGAGATTCGTGTTTAATTAATTAAACCATTTCGTCGAATATCTAATATCTATAATTTTGCATTAAAGGGAGAGTGTCACCGGTAATTTTCATGGTGCGTATCCCTGCCTGTCACGCGGGAGACCAAGTTTCGATTGCCCCTCGGGAAAGGTTGTTTGTGACTTGATATTGAGAGAGAAGACTGAAAAAGGGAGAATAAAAACTATGGAGACTCTGGCTGGTTTAAAAAGTGGGTGAATAAGACGGAGGGATGAAAAGATAAATTATTTTATTATAAATGGAATGCAATAAAGAAAAGAACAAATTCAAAACTAACGACAAGCTTTTCAATGCAAAGTGGATGTTGTCCAGTCAGTAAAACTGGGATTTTGCAAGTAGAAATTGCAATGAGGAGAAGAAGAAGAAGAAGAAGAAGAAGAAGAAGAAGAAGAAGAAGAAGAAGAAGAAGAAGAAGAAGAAGAAGAAGAAGAAGAAGAAGAAC